CTAGCTCCCATAATGTATTTACTTAGCTAAATCCCCACTGTGTATCCAAAGCTGTATTAAGTAGCGACATTTCTATTTCTTCTTAATGAGGCTTCCACTGCCTCATTAAACAAAAAACAGTCATTTTGGGTTTTCCTTGATTCATCGACAAAGTATAAAAATTAAAATAGTTATGATGCTTTTTTTCTCCACGGTTTTTTTTTTTCCAGTTTAATTTCAATTGGTTTCCTGAGTGAGCTTTTAGGTTTTATTATTTAAACTCTTGAAATTGCTGTCGTTCAGTATTTAAACTAGTACAATTACTATATAGATCGACTATGGCTGCAAGACCATTAGATTGTGATTACTACACCAGGCTTTACTTGTACTAAGCGAGTGAAATAATGTTATAAAGCTAGATGCAAATGATTCACATGCTTGTCTGATTTGTTTGATAAGTATTCAGTCCCATTGATCCAACTATGTTTGTTTGCAACAAACAGACTCAGACAGTTTCTCCAAACAGCCATCAAATACATTCATGTCCCCTGTCAGACAAACAGAAAAGCCCTTAGAAATTACTGCCATGATCACAGCACTTATTGTCTGCGTTTGAAAAGATGTTAAAAACAAACTTAAGACACATTCAGTATTGGCTGATAGAGTCATACCAAAAAGAAAGTAGTCACAGAGCTCTATGCAGAGTCGAAGCATAGACTCTGCTGTTTGTCTGAGGTGACTGAATTGATATACTGCATTTGATTTTCACTGAACAGGGTGCTCTACATCATGGCCTTTGTCTCACTTGTCCACAGGACACTACTCCAGTCATCAACTTTAACGCTCTGACTTTGGGGTAAACTTGCTGGGACGTCCACTCTTAATCCTGTGGAACCCTAACCCTTTTTTTTACATGACTATATACTAATCTATTTTTTAAAAAAAAACTAAAAGAACTGGATATGTGTGCATAAAAGGCCAACAGAAGTGAATTAAAATGTTCTTAAACCAATTTGAAATTTGTTTTCACCAGCTGTAAGCAGTAATACAAAGTCATGGTAAATATGAAGTTGATGTTTTAGCTGCACAATGGATTCTCTAAAGCTTTTTTTATGGCTGCATCAATTTATATGATAATTTCTTAGCAGACTTGCATTATGCATTATATCATGAGATAAGAGATGATGAGATAGCCTTTATTTGTCAGTTGCAGGTCTTTTGCCCACAACCGAGATGACAGACCTTGCCGACCGTACATACAATACACAAACATCACATTGGGGAGACAGGTCAGGCTAGGTAGCGAGGAAAAAAACATCGAAATGTGCAACACAAAAGGATAATACAGGAATGCACAGGTATCAACACACCATAACACAATAAACACAGACAAGCAACATGGGAAAGTGTTCCAGTGTGTACATCTGATCTGGGACCGCTGCAATCTTCGACTGCGCCTCCAACTGACCCAATGTCCACATCAGAGGGGAGGTAAGCGTTGGAGGTGGCGTTGGATCCGGGGTAGGGAGAGTGATGGAGGGTGATGCGCCGGTGAGTGTTTATCAGTATCAGTATATGTATGTGTGTGCTTGTCTATAGTTCAGCTGAGACAGTGTCCTTCGCCCTGCCAGGCTAAGTCATCTTAGTCTCTTAGAGTCATCTCCTCTAATACACTAATACACAAGGACAACTAAGCAGTTTTCATCTCTTCCCTATGTCCCATTCACATCAGTGTTTTTCCACTATAACTACTCAGGAAAGACACCCTCCATAACTCCAACTACCCTTCACGTTCTCTCTTTACTTCACTTCTTCCCGCCATACCAGAGACATAAAGTGCCCTCCTAAATCTCCATGTCACCACGCCTGCCAAGGCAAAATAGCTCCTGCCTTCTCAGTCTACTCTCTCCATCCTCTTAAATCCTTTGCCCTGGAAAAGGACTTCAAGCCCCCCACTCATCTTCTCTTTTTTAATATCCCCCATTCCCGTTAATCTTTTGCAGCACCAACACACCTTCAAAGGTGAAAAAGTCATTCACTTTTCCTACTCTCCATGTCTATTTATACCTCCAACTACTGCTACAACACTTGAAAAGCCTACACACATCTGTCATCCAAAAGTGGGCACACCAACTTTGTTTTCTGTCTGGGGATTGAACCCCAGTCTTTTTTTTTGGTGTGGTTTTGAGTGGTACTAAGTACCAAAAGCAGCATAAATAAACATATAATGCTCAAACATTTCCTCAACACCTTTCTTTACAGATTTGAATCACAAGTTTGCCTGTTTTGGCAAGTTTATTTGTAGTGGGTTATCATTAGCATAGTCTGCATAATGACTGATACAAAGGTAGCATTCAAATTTTAAATATGCATATAACAAGTACAAGATCATTAGTAAGCAATCACAAAGTTTAAAAAAAATCTTATTCAGCTAATGTTTAATGTATTATTCAGCATGCTTTATTAGCATGTCACCTGCAGGGTAGCATACACCATTGTTAGGCATGTTAGCCTATTAGCATATAGCATGTAGAAATGATTCTGACATGATATCACATAAAACTATTAAACAGTATAATGGTTACCATGTTTAGCATGAAAACTGTCACTTTATTGTGGATATTGCAAACTACACTAGATGTTCAGATATTCAGCTCTGCTTGCAGGAATGTCTGTAACCTTTAACTTTAAGACAGTTGTGAACATTTTGAAGATTACTTTAGGGTATGATTTTTTTCTGTGCTTTCAAATTTTCTCTACATTAAACAACACAAAAACGTTTAATGTTTAATAAGTAGGGCTTGTGCTAAAAATTAAAGCAGAACATTCTGATTTGGTGCATACTCCTTAAAGCTTCTCACCTTAACCTGTTTGATCTTCCGTCCCCAGGGAGGGAGAAATGCCAGCCCTCTGTCTGGCACTCAGCGTGTCTATAGCCTCTCTTCAGATCTTTACCTTTGTCACCTCTTGCACTCAAGAAAGATAAAGCATTTCATTTTCCTGCTCTTACGTCTCCCCCAGTCCATCTACGTATCTTTTCTGACACCCCTCCCCTCCTCCCCTTGCTCTGTCCTTTCACTTCTGCTTTCATCTGTCTGGCAGTATCCCTCTGTTCCAGAAAGTTAGAAAGTGTAGGAAACAGACATGTGGATGGACGGGAAGAGACACAGACTGCCTTGGGGTTTTCCAAAACTCTGTTTTGTTCTCTAACTCTATCCCATCAAATCTCCATCTCTTTCTCGCTCATGCACTCGTTTGATCCCTCTAGCTCTCCATTTTTTCCCCTCACTTTCTGTCCCATTAAATCTCTCATTCGTTTGCTGGCTTTGTATCTGCTCACTCTTGTTCCAGCTCATTATCTCACTTTCCCTCCCTGTCCCTTTCATCCTCCCTCTTTTATTTAACCCTGCACCTCAACCGCTCACCAGCCTTCACCCTCCTTTCCTCCCTAGATTTTTGCTCCTACCGTCTACATCAACTAGCATCCTCATCTCCTTTGACAAACCCCAATATAGTGAACTATTAGGTCCATCAATTCCTCAACAACATTACAGGAGGTGTTCTATTTTGTTAGTTTTTTTAAAAACAGAGCAGGAGTCGCAAGTTCGATTCCCACTCGGTATCCAGTAATGGTCCTGGCTAGACCCCCTGCGCCATGCTAAAACTAAGCCCTGGAACAGCGCAGCTACATCTGCAGCTTGTCTGCAGCTTAGACACAAACATTTCACTACATGTTGTACTGTGTATGTGACAAACAAAATTTTAATTTAATATACTTATTATATAAAACCTACTGATCTCATTAAATTCATTAGAATGGGCACCATATGCATTGAAATACACTAATAGTTTAACCTAGAAACCTGCAAACTATGAATGTACCATGCTGGCATATCACCAAGATTGGAGAGTTTTCATTTGGCAAAGATCGATATAAATGTAGCATGTTTTGTGCTGGTGTGTGGGTTTATAAAGCATAGTATATGTGGTCAAACCCCGCTGCATGTTAAAGGTGCTACAATCATTGAGAATAACTGAATATGACACTAGACCACCAGCATCTTAGACCAAAACAGGCTGATTGGACACAGCTCCCAGCCAACAACAACAAAAGGAACCCGTGAACAACCACCGAACCACTGCAGGTTTGTAAAATGACTACGACACTGCGGTATATGCAGGCAGTTTTTTTCCCCGTCAGCTTCTCTTCTTTGCTTTTAATGGAGACAGATTTTTTTTGCCAGGCCTTCTGACATCTAAGATAGATTAAAGTTATCTTAATCCCTCTCTCCTCTGCTCTGCTTTCTTATTGTCACTTGTCTTACTCCACTCACACACACACACAAAGTGAAATAGAAAGCAGAGCAAAGCTTGCACTGTTTGTAATCACTCCTTTTTGTCTCACTGTAAAAGCCGAAATAGCCAACAGCTTCCAAGGCAGGAACTCACATACATCAACATGAATGTGTGGCCGGACAGGGTAAACTTTAACCCTGGAGAACACATGGGGTCAGAGCCGACCCCATTGGTTTTCTAGGGAAACCATGGGGTTAAATTTGACCCCATGGTTTCTCCAGGGTTAAAAGGGAGTTGGACTTCATTTGTGGCTCCGGCCACCTTTACTTCATTATTCACAAAGCAAATCTTTGACTGCAGTTAAGTTAGTATTCATCGTGAATATGATGAATTTGAAGATGAACTTTACCGTTGGGTTGTAATGTTATGTTTAACCGTAGGACCAAAGTGCTTATTCAGCCAACTGATGGTCACTCTGCTCACAGTGGGTAAAAGTATAGCAAATATGCAAAAGACATGCTACCTTGACCGTGATGGGTCATATATAAAGCATCTTGGACATTCACACAGACTGATTATTATTCTGCGGAAATTTTCAGCAGCACATTCAGACAAACCCAAAACAATCAGGTGAACCAGTTTTATCCATAAGAAACAGAGTGATTTGATGAGGAGTGGTCTGAAAGATTCTTTAATAGGAGTTCCTATCCAAGCCGAGTCCCTACCTCTTTTTGGTGGTACTTGATGGCGAGTTTGAGCTTGGCCAGATCATGGCACTGTCTAGGGTCTAGTTCCTCACTCTGGTCGTTGTCTCTGTGGTTCAGGATGGTCTCAAGTTCTCTAGAACTCCTGGCCTGATCCAGGAGGTCCTTGGCGAAACGCTTGCACTGCTGAGACAGTTCCTCATACTCCTGACGAAACTCATTCTCCACCTGAAATAAGGGTGGAGTAAGATTAATGCTGAAAGATTAATGGGAAACATATGATGGCTCTTTGATGTCCTCAGTTTTAGATTTCCATCTGCTGCTGGAATAGCTTAAAAGCATCACAATCTCCTTGTGGATCCCAAAAATGAAAGTATTATTTGACATAAACCGTTCTGAAGTCTGCATCATAGAGACTCAGTATTGGAGAAGAAGTGTGTCTGTTCTTGTTACCCGAGAAAAGACTGCAGGGATTATAGTAAGGTATGGTGAGAGTCTTTTTGCTGTTACTTTTGAGACGATAAATACCAGAAAAAAATGTGAGGCAGGGGTAGACAGTCACTCTTGACAGCATAAGTGAAAGAAATACTTGAGGCAAATGAGTAAGAGGAAGATGATGCTGAATGCTACTCCTTCCACAGTTAATTTAACATCCCATCAAGTTTTAGGAGGTTGCTTTCCTCCAGTACATCTGTACCTTGGCTGTTTAGAAACGTAATGGGCTATGTACGAAGAGAAGGAGTTTTGTTAAGTTTCTTCTTTTGGTCAACAAACATGACATCAACAGGCATCAACATCCATACCTTGCTGAGTTCTTTGAGTTCCCAGCCCAGTCTGAAGGCAGTGAGGATGGGATCTTCACTGGACAACGCAATGAGAGATGGCGAGGCCAAAGCCTTGTAGATGTTGAGTCTAGACCGTGAATGTCGAAGGCTGTCGACCTACAAAGAATCAGGAAAGGTTTTTACCCTAAGATTTACATTAACTACGAGACTTGCAGAAGGCACCGTTAACATCGAGAAACTGTTTCAATCGGTATGACAAAAACTAACACACTAGCTATCTTTCACATGTAACATAACTGTTCCCAGAGTGGATGTTCAACATGCATGGTTCAAGTGTTTTAACTGCAGGCCAACTATGTCATAGGGTAGCATCTATCACAGACAAAACAAGATGGTGAACTTTAGTTTTTCAGTTTTGTCTTCAGATTTTGCACCAGCAGTGTGATAACACTCGTTTAACCAGTTTGTATGAGTGACCATGGTGTGGTATGTCTAGACTATGAACAGTCTGTTAAAGTTAAGTGTTCACTGTAAATATAGATTAATAGAGAAATATTTCCTAATGCTTTAATGACTTATTGTCTGTTTGAACAAAATTCTTTTCATTTCACTCCCTGGGCAAGATTTAAAAAAAAGAAGAGCAGCAAAGCAGCTTAACGGACATTATTTTTATCATTATCATCATCATCATCATCATTATGGTGGAGCTGGGGTAAATTCGGTTTAAAGTTGCAGACTGCACATTTTCAATTTATATAACAAAGCTGAGATCTGTAATAGAGTTGGTGGTGCCTTGTATGGAAAGCATAAAGCTATTTTTACATTGGATCTGAGGGAAATTTACTAAAGCTATGTGCTGTTCACATGCCTGAAATGATTAAACAAGATTTCAAGAATTTACTGTAAAGCAGTTTTGTAGTTTCAAATAAAAAAAAGATTATTCACTCCAAACCATGACCTTCATAAAAATGTTTTAAGTCTTCAAATTTAAGGCTCAGAGCCTGGTTATACCACTAAAGCATGCTCATTCATCTTTCATATTGTTGCAAAGTATAAGAACATTAAATGTAGGCGAGTTCAAAAAGTTGGAAATGATGTTGGAAATTGTTGATGTCTAATCTAGAGTCCATGCTGGAAGTTAAAGTTTGTAAAAGCAATTTAAATATATTCAAATATAAATGTTTAGCAAACCAAACACAATGCAAGCAATGCAAAAGAAAAGAAAGAAAATCCCTTACCTCTGAGCTGGATACACACTCAACACAGTCGCATCGTATCTGATGTGGTCTGGGTATGGTGACCTACACAGAGCAAAAACATCGAACAACAAATCACTGATAAAATAAAGATCTCGCTTTATTCCTTGACCATCAAGACAGACAAAAAAAAGAGCTTACTGCTCATTATGTTGATAACTTATGCGTAAAACAACCATTACCTTCCGCTGGACAAGCAGCTTGATAATCTCATAGTTGTTTGTATGAGCAGCAAGCATGATGGGAGTTATATCGGGGGTGAACTCTGAAAACTGGCTGTCCATCATCAGAGAAGGAACCTGTAGGAGAACAAAGTACAAACCTCTTAAACTGGCTGTTATCTACCTTTTAATATTTGGGTAAAAAGCCTGCTGACAACCACCAGTTAAACAGAAAAAAAAGAACAAAAAAAAACATTAATGGCCAAATAAAAAACCTTGAATCAACCCCAAAAGGGAAAATGGTAAAATAGGGGAAAACTGAAAGTGAAAGACAAATTAAGCAAATGATGAATCCAATCAAACACTCTTCAATCAGATTAAAACAAATTAAATTAGTGTAATGTATTCAAAAAAAAAAAATTCCCGCCTGAAAACTCTGCAGAGGTAGATTATTTAAAGCCACATCCTCTCCAAAACTCATTTTATCCCTCACGGATGCAGCTCTGAACACCAGCTGTACCTGGGAGAGAAGAGGGGAGTGGAAGATTGTTTGTTTGCCAAGTGAATACCAGGAGGTCTGTCATTACAGGAAGACAAAGGAGAGATGGAGAGAGGAAAACCAAGAATGTAATGGCTGCATATAAATAAAGAAAAAGAAATGCAGACGCATGTTAACAAGACGCCTAAACCAAGAGGATACAGTTTTCTAGACTAATGCCACGTCTTGAGTCTATGATGCTATCGATCACTAGGTTAGTCCAGCCCATAACGGACACGTTACATCTGCTTCATATAATCTGTACAAAATGTAAACACGACCACTTGTAGCTTTACAGTCAGTTATATCAGGGGGCTGAGTGCCAGACTGTTTCTTGGCCCAGAGCAGGAACTTTCTGGAATCTCTGCCTGGCAACCTCACAAAGACAACAACAAGAGTGCCAGCCATATGTAGCAGAGCTTGGAAGATTGTTTTTGAGGCGGAGATCACATCGTCTTCAAACAAAATGCTGGGATCTTCAAAACACCCAAAACAGCTGGGAGTGCACCGCCATCAAGTTTGTAATCTACAGCTTTAAACGTCAATATGGAGTTGAGTGGTCACAAATCATTTGTAAGACGCAACCCAAATGTGTAGTATTTGCCATCAATTTACAGTACAACACAAACCACATCTGACCAATGTAGAAAGACAAGGTACAGGCCCTGCTGCTGAGTGAAAAAGAGGGTACGTACATCAGAGTGTCTGGTTTGAGAAACAGAGACCTCTCAGGTATCTGTGTACTGCTATATTATTGGGTCCTTGTCATCCAGGTCATAATTGACCGGAGTTAAAGGCAACTCAAACTCACACAGAAGGCTTCTTCATTTTCCTTCAGATCAGGAGTCCCAGGTATTTAACCACAAGTGTGGTTTCCATAGGCTGCTGGTGGTTTGTAAAGGGAGTAAAGTGTAGTTTAAGGTCCCAAGCATGTGCACACTTGAGCCAGTTGAGGGGTGTTTACCCACTGCAGTCGTGCTCTAGTCCAGACTTCCAAAATCCCAACTGTGTGTCTCTGGAAGTGGATGACATCTGCCAAGTGCAATATTCCGGGAACAGGAGACGTGTGAAAAAAAGAAAACCCTTCAAAGATCAAGACCACATTCTTTGTACACCGTCTCCATCAACAACAGAGCTCTCTGCACATAGATGGCATGCAGTGCTACCCCAGTCTAGCAGGGGAAGCACTGCAAACAAGCTACCTCTGCTGGACTGAATCATGTGCACTGTTGTGTGGACACTTTAGTCTTTTGGTAATTTCCAATAGTAAATGGCATAGAATAGCATTAATGGTTTAGAAAACAAATACTGCTCCAGACACTCAACTAGCCAAATGTCAACAGCCTTGAGCTTTGCTGAAACGACCAGCAGAACGTGGAACATAAGAGCGATCAATGTTGAAAATGAGTGTATCTGATCTCATTAAAAATAAAAGCTAAACATTATTTAAAAGGGTCTCTTAATCCACTACTAACAGTGACAGAGACATTCCTGATCAATTGATGGTATATTATATAAAGTTGAAGGCTGTCTTATGCTGAAACCAGGACCCTAAAGTAAAAGTTAAGAATGAGGCTGACAGGGTGCTGGTATGTCAAAGAAAAGCACACACACGTGTACTCCCAGACATCTGAAGAAGAGAGAGGAGGAGGGGCTGAGGAAGGAGGGTACATGTGTCTCAGAGGGAGAATGACGGCGAGTGCTTCTCCTCACCCTTCCCATCTTTCTGTCTCCATCTTTTCTGCTGCCTCATCTTCTCCTCGTCTCCCCTTCCCACATTCTTCTATTTTCTCCCCCCCTCCATCTTCTTGCATCTCTCTCATTTCCTTGTTTTCCCTTCATCTAAACCCCTCCTTTCCACCAGTTTACTCTCCTCATCTCTCTCTACCTTTGTCTCTTACTCCTCTCACCTGCCACAACCCTATTTTCTTCATACAATCTCTCTCTCTTTTTTTAATCCCTCTTTTTTTCCTGCCGTGATAAGGAGTGTGAGAACAGCTGCCACGGGCTGGGCCCCAAATAAAAATTAAAGAGACAGACCGAGAATACACAAACAAGTAAATATAAGCAAGCACACATGCAAATACAGAAACGGCAAATAACAGAATGAACATAACTTGAGTACAATTGATTTTTCACGCATTGAAACTGGCTGCACCATCTGCAGCTGCGAACGAGCACCACTTAGGAACCTCGAGCCTTATATAACTCAGGATTTAAACTTTTTCAATTAGGTGAAACTACACCGATGGCATATTTAGGCTCCAGATGTACACTGTTGGTTCCCCCAAAATGGAGCAACACAGTGAGATAGCAGGAGGTGTGATTGTTATGGGCTTGTTGCTCTTACATGTTTCTGAAGATGGGTCAGATCGCTGAGAGTTACATGATGACGACATGATGAAATATGAGAGAAAGGTTTAGTTAAACTCAATCTACATTTTTTCCCCGATTTATTGCTGGCTGGATTATGTTCAGAGGAAATGTTTATCTTTATCTGCTACAACGGTGCAAAGGCTGGGTTTCATAGCTTGAGTCAACAAACTTATACCACTATATTAATCACCTGGCAGCACTTCAGTGCACTGGGTATCGGTCAAAATGATGTACTGAGAATTAGAACGAAAAAAAAAGGTGATTTAAGTGAGTCTGAATATGGCAGGGTGTCTCAGACAAGCTGATCTGAGTATTTCAGAAAGTGCTGGGATTTTCCCACACAACCGTCTGTAGGGTTTAGGAAGCCAAAGAAAATCTGCAGCAACTGTGTGATGCTATCATGTCAATATGGACCAAAATCTGTGAGGAATGTTTCCAGCACTTTGTTGATATCACAAAGAATTAAGGCAGTTCTGAAGTCTAAAATGAGGTCCAACCCAGTACTTGATGTGCGCGGTGAATGAATGTTTAGATTTAGCCAAGAAAAGCACTTTAAACTTTTGAGAAAACCTATGGTTTCAGTTATAAGTTGGTTATCAGGTTCATTCACTCATTTGTGGAGTCTTGAGTATTGAGCCAGTTTCTGCACAGAACTGCGAGTGCATAAAGTTTTAAAATACTGGAGTCACTAGAACAGGTATTCTGATACAAGATTTTTGAGTCATTAAAAAATACTTTAAGGGATACTTAAATTACTGGAAAGCAATGATAAGTTACCATTGTGTGTGTCTCATAACTCAATTTTGGATGGACCAAAAGACAAGTTTAATTCAAAGCACTGAAAGTCCCTGAGAAGGCAACTCCAGGAAAATAACCCGAAGAGTAAAGGTAACTTTGAAAATAACTGAGGGCAAATAAACTCACAACAGACGCAGGAGAGATGAACAGGAGAAGATCTGATAAAAGCTTCAGGGTGGGTAGGACTATTTATACACAAGTAACTGATAACTGAAGGGAAACAGGTGAAAACAATCTAGACTTGGAGAATACAGACAGGAAGCAAACCTGAGGCAGGAAGTCAAACCGGAAACCACCGAAGGAAAGAAAACAAGAACACACAAAGGGACTGAGGCATGACCAAAGAATTGGGCGGGACACTGAGGGAATTAAAAACAAATTCAAATTAAAATGGGAACCCACACCATCAGTACACATGTACCAAAACTCCACAGAACTCCGATAATATGACAGAAACTGATAAAGATCAAAGCAGAAGTGAGAAACTCAAATATCAAAAGCCTCCAAGACCAAGAACACAAACTACAGAACCAACACAAGACAGAATAATCAAGACACCATGTAGCATGTGATCCCACTGCGACAACACCAGTGATCCTGGGACGGCATTTGTCTCCACAGTCTGTCTTCACTTAAGTGTTGTCTGCAACCCTCAAGTCTCTTGACTGTGTCATGCTGGACTGTGACTATAGTCTAGACAAAATCCACAGACAGACACATAAACACAAGCCAAAGTACTCAAAACTACCTGGTAGTGGTAGTAACAAGTGTCTCCAGGACCATATGTTGCCATGATAACACCACACGCACACACACACACACACACACACAAGGTGAAAACAATTTCAGCCACGACAGAGTGGCACCTGTTAGAGCAGGTGTCTCTCAGACCACATTTTGCCATGATTACACACAAACACGCACCCACACAGACTTACACAGTGGAAAGAAAACCAGCTATGTCATTAGGAGGTACTAATACATTAAAAATGGCAATAAACAAAAGGGCTTTTAGTAAAACAAAGCCAATGTATTTAATGGCAGGCTGATAACCAAGCAGTCTGATATTTAGAACATTTTATTAATCCCAGGGGGAAAGCTGAACTTAACAAAACAGTTTTGTGTTTTGTCTCACTCCCAGGACTTAATCGGCACTGAATATCAAATATTAGTATCAAGACAAGTCCTATATCAGTCTGCTCTATCCTTTTGCTCCTGATATCTGGTGACCTTATTCAGTAATCTGAGGTCACACCACATAAAACTTTATACCCCAAACATTCATATTAAATTCAACAACTCAAAATGTCTAAGTAAAAAGAAGTAAAAATAAAAAAAAACAAAAAAAACAAACTTCCTTAAAATCTGTCCACAAACATATTAACACCTCCCAAAGCAGTACAACACCTTTAGTAGTAGCTCCAGGTCCTATAAGCATCTCCAGGACCATGTGTTGCCATGATAACCACACTCAGATGCACATTCACAATCCAAAACATTTTTCAGCCACAACAGTGTCGCTGTCAGTCAGAAAATCCAATAAATCTAGGGCACGACTGCTGTTGACCCCTTGAAAGGAGAACGATTGAAAGCAAAATTTATATCAAAGGTCGTTTTTGACTCCAAACTGTGTCAGAATTTGGACCCCTTTTTATTCTGGACTCCATTTATTCGTGGCTATTATCTGAAGCACATTATGATTTGGCTCTCAAATTACCCATTCATACGCTGATGGCTGCAAGCTCGCGTGAAAGTCACTGCATGAAATTCTGGGAACAGTGTGGCGGTACTTTGGGATGGGGGCACACAGAGCCAACCATCAAACTGGAAATTTTCCAAAGAGCAGTCAAATGGTTTCTGTAGTTTATCACAGCGGGTCACACTTGCTTTGTTACACTGTAATGTGAAGAAGAAAAAAGTCCACAAAGGAGCTGCTGGTTTACTGAAAGTGGATCTCAGCTAGAGTCCTGTGAAGTTATAACAAGAAATTAGGAGTAAAATTGCAGAAAGTTTGTGCAAGAAATCCTGTTTTTCTGGCTAAATCATAAAAAGACGTTTTGTGTTATGGATTTACTTTAAATTAGATTTCACTTTAAAAACAAAACCAGACAATGCATGATAATAAAAAAATCCACTGTATTGTCTCCTCGCATCCATCAGTGCAGACACACGTGCATCCAATCCAGATGAATACGCTCAGATCAAAACCCAAATTAACACTGACTCCAGTTACACACATGCAATTCTAATTGTTTGCTTCACACATCAAAGGGCACAGAACCTTCCCTCATTTGCATCTCTCTCCGCAACTATTTCTCACTTTGTCTACCTCCTAATGTGTCTTGTTTCCTATGTTTTTCCTCTATGCCCATCTGATTTCCTACATGCTGCATTTGCTGTTTTTCTTCTTTATTTGACTCCAGTCCATCTCTGTTTTCGCTCTTCAGGGCAAAGAGCTCCAGATCTAATCCTTTTGTTCATGCTTAAAAAATAAAAATCATTCTCTTCTTCCTCCTTCCCTCCCTTTTGTTCTTTGGGCTGTTGCCTCAGTCCTTCTATTTCGAGTATGCTGGTAATGAAGAGTGAGGAGTGGATGTGAACAGGGGAGTGAGGGAGGATGGACACAGAGATATAGAGAGGTAATCAAAGAAAGAGGGGGAGTCAGACTGAGTCAGATGGAGAGGGATGGCAGAAAGATCAACAGTTTAGCTTTGCAGGAGCAGATAAAAGGCCCTGATTCTACCTGTCAGTAGAAAAGTGCAGTTTAGAAACATACGTAAACTCACAAAGCACACATCCAGCTCTTAATATAAGTATCGAGCACTGATGTGTGAGTGTGCATATGTTTGTGTGTGCAAAACTCAATACTGTGCCCTGAATATTGGTGAAATAGATAGTTTCAGGGGTGTAATTTCCAGGGGGGTTACGGGGGGTTATGACCCCCCAAATAATCAGACCAAACCAAAAGAACCCACCCAATAAAATTATAAATTATCTTGCATAAATAGGCTGTTGATTTTCTTTACTCATTACCAGCAAAATAGTTGCATGTTTAATCATATGGGAATTTACCCAGATTTATTTATTTAGACAGAGATCTCGACCCCCCCAATGTTCAGCACAAAGTTGCGCCGATGGATAGTTTAAATATAAAACTTGAGATCACTCTTTCCACAAACAGGCACTTTTTCATTTTCCCCACACATGCAGAGGTAACGCCTTTGTGAAGCATTCCTCTTCGAGTTTCTCTCTTTTTTACTCTCATCAAACTTGATTCTCTCCGATGCCTTTTGCCGGAATTATGCTTCTCTCAGCTGAACCCAAGTAAACTAACAAAAGTGAACTGACACATTTCTGTGCATCTTTTATTGCTAATATAACCTGTTTCACACTCTCTCTGTTTGCCACACTGCCACTCGTCTCTTCCTGTGCGTATCCATCTTTAGACTTCGGTAACTGTGCAGCAGCAGAAAAAAAAATGTTAATATTGTAGTAGAAAAGCGTTTGGGTTTTTAAAGCCACCCCCGATGATAACTGTGCAGGGGTTGAATTTTTTTCTGTAACTCTAGTTGGGGTTCATTTTTTCCTACAGAAACTCCCACAAGCACATTTTTAAGCCTGTTATTCACTTAGCAAACTTGGTATTCATGTAATTTCACCCTGAATTACACCCCTCGCTTACCAAGCTAGCCAGCACCAGCAGCTACACCCTCCAAATTTAATCCTGATGCTGTAGCCTACACACACATATTGTTTTAGCACGCTACAAGACTGAGATCTTATTGAACATATTGGACAATTGAAATAAACTGTATATAAAAGATAGACAAAAAAATAACATTAATATGGGAGTAAGTTCAATTTGAATTCTTTCTAACGGTCAGCAAGGGGACATGTAATTGCAAAAGTCTTTGGGAAAAGACAATTCCCATACTCCACAACCTCAGTACTAACTTTTCTGAGGATTTTATGGTAACAAATGTTAGTTTTAAGTCTTACTGGTTAAAGTCTGATGTTTGTTTTAGTCAAAAAGGATAAAGTAACATTTTCTTGGGCAGCTCTAACTCCATATGGTGTGATTGACAACTACCTTATGAGCATCCAGTGACCCTCGGAATCGCGGTCACATCCATCTCGCTTATGTCCTTGACAAAATATGACAATGACCAAAATACTCAATGCTTCAACAAACCAACATCATGGTGGTTATGTGCATCTTTCATATACAGTCTGTGCAATTTTGAAGCAACAACACGGTGCCGCATGTCTCTTGCTTTCTAAATCTCACACATAGGCCAATATTTTATATAAGACAGTAAAACAGATTAACATGTATGCGTTGCTGCCCACTGCTTTATTATCATTATTACAGAAATCTGCAATGCGCTGACATCACTGTGTATTACGCATGTGTGATGTGTAAGGTAACTGAAGAGAGACAAAAAGTATGAGAAGACAAACAGAAACACTGGAAGAACAGATTTGTTCTCATCCACATCCAACTGAGAGGCAACCAAAACCTTCCCACAATCCTCTGCTTCGGCCAAGGGTTGGTTGCCATGGTGACATCGAACCTCACAGCCTCAACAGTCCAGGAATATTTTTCAAGAAGACGTCTTTGTTTCACTTATTTATTTTTTACATTTTGCAATTTACTTCCCGTCCGTTCCGTCTTCACATTTACTCCCCTGTTAGTTTGAATCGCTGTGAATCAGTTTTTTAACTACCCGTCTCTGAATCTCTCCATCTTAACCCCCCCAACACCTACTCTTTAAACTAAACTGTAGTGTGTTTTTCCTTCCTCTGCTCCTCTTTCTCTCTCTGACACACAAACAGAAATGCAGCAAGCAGACAAACATGCTGTCTGTCTCCAAATCCTATTTCACAGTTTGTCTATGAAACGGGCTGTTTAATTTCCCTCCGCTCAGCAGAATGTGGCATGGAGCATTACAATGAATGGATGTGCAGCTCATTATCTCACACACACACACACACACACACACACACACACACACATTAAAATGGAAAAATACTCACACAGGCGCACATTCACGGATGACTAAATGCAAACACGTGCATGCATGGATGCGTCTGGATGCAACACGCTAACATATACCCACAGAGGGCTCGCTCTCCCTCTGTTTGGTCTGAACCAGTGGTGCCGCCAGAAACATTTTCAGAGTCCAGATGGGGCCACTGAAAATGTGAAGTCGGTTCACCACAAACCAAAAGACGTAAACTTTAGGCGTAGTTAAAAAGAAACATCCGCACGCACCTGTTTCTCTCCGCTGGGCCTTTTGTGTGACAGCAGCAGTTCCACGGCACCCACCACCTCCTTCCTGATGGCGTACAGCAGGGCGTCGCCCGTGTGGATGCCGTGGTCGAGCAGGAGCTCCATGATCTCCAGGTTCTCGTTCTCGATGGCGATGAGGAGAGCACTGCGGCCCAGCGGGTCCAGACAGTTCACATCCATGTTGTAGTACACCTCTGCTTCGCGAAGGGCATGTTTCACTCCCGCATAGTCACCTAGAGGAAGAGGAGAGTTGAAGTGTGCAGGTGGCTAAAAAAATTTCACTTTCTCACCCAAATTATTGTTTATGTGTCTACTGATGTGAAAGTCTGTAAAATACAAATCTGTCAGGGAGCTAATGCCAATACAGATATGTGTATGATATATATGCTTATTCATTTATACTTTTTCAGGATTTATTCTCACCTCCTGTGCACAAGAATCAAATCATTATCAATCAAAATTAAGTCTTTCAAAGTCTACAAAAAAGACATTAAACACTCATTTGCATATATGAGTTTTAACATGTATCGTGTTTGCTACATCGAGTCCTTCTATTGCTTAAAAAGTATTGTTTGGGGGGAGGGTCATGCTGATTGTGTAAAGCACTCAAAAACTCACTTCACATTACAGGGATAGCTTTTTATCACAAGACCTTTTAACAGTAATCAGAGAAAATCCATGGAAACACGGGGAGAACACACAAACTCCTCACAGAAGGGCCCACCCAGGTTTGTGATGCCATCAAACAACATTTAAAATGTGGAGATGAACAAAATATGTATAACAAAATAATTAAAAAAAAAAAAAACAGGGTAAGGTATCCTGAGAAAGGGCTAGTTACTGTGCAACTTACTATTGTTGTTTATTGAAAAGCACTGTACATGTGTGTACGACTAGTATCTAATGTATACTGATCTTTTTAAAAGCAGGGGTGTCAAACATAAGGCCTGGGAGCCAGAATTGGCCTTGCAAAGACACTTTGGAAAATGTGAAGGAGTGTAAAGATTATGAACTTTTAACTGTGTTTTCAGGAGTTGAAGAACAAAACAAAAACAAAAATCAATATAAATACAGAATAGTCTGGATGATGGAGCTACATGAACTACTGTAATATTACACATTTATTATGTATCCTGTACTACTTTTTCTTACATTAAGGCATCTCAGGGATTAAATATTTAGCTAAATATCTTTACGCTAGAAAGTGGAGTTTCATTTGGCCCACGATGTAAACTTATTTAAGGTTGTCTTACCTAACCCTTTCCTGCGATGTCCAAGTGTTTCTTACAACTGGTTGCAGGAAAGTGACATATTTAGAAAGCATAGTCAGGTCGGCAAGTGTTTGGAAAATGACACTTTTTGCTCTGCATGAGCATCACCCAGTGCTGTGTTTACTTCCTTAAGGTGCTCTGCTAGGCCTTTACTCCAGCTGCTTTCAGTTGGTACTTTTCTGTGGGTCTCTCTGCTGTCAGGTTTGACTTTAGAGTAAAACGCTCTGTGAGGTTGTGATCAGGTGACTGAACTCGTTTCTTTGCTTTGAGAAACTCTTGGGTTGCTTTTGCAGTAGACTTCACGCTATGAAGCTGTGTCCAATTAGTCAATGAATTTCTGGTTGCAGCATCTTGTTCAAGGACGTTTGCTGCAGCACACCTGTGTACTGACACACTCTGACTGACCAGCTGCTCAGCTATCAGAAAGTATAAACTCAGCATCATTTAACGGGTGAGTGGATCAGTAGAATGCATTTGTGGAGGCAACTATGCGGCTTAAAATAAGCAGATGGCTGTGCAAGGCTGTGTGTGCGTTTACCTTTCTCTACAGCTGTGAGGTAGGCCCGCTCCTCAGCAGACAGCTCCACCTCAGCACGGACAATCTGAAGTGGGATGCGGTCGCGGTACGGCGAATATGTCGCCTAAACCACAAAAACAGAGGACGACAACATGAGGCAAACTGCATGTAAGTAGAGACATGAACAAAAAACAAAAAAACATATGAGCCAGTTGTGTTATTGAACGAATGCACATGCAAAATAAATGTTCACCAAAGTTTTACCCGTGTAGTGGTGGGTACACAGTTGTTTTGCCAAAATACACCCATCATGCGCATAAATTTAGTTTTTTAGTGATTTATTTAAAACTGTTCTTTTCCCCAGAGTGGTCTAACTGTACAGCTTTAATGACTTTAAACAAAAACAAGACCTGGGTGTACAACTTATAACTTATTTTGAATTTAGGGTCAACAGTATACATACAGGCTCAAATATATACATACCATTATATACCGTTTATATCTGGCTAACTTGCATAATTTTGGCTGGATATTTGACAGCTCTCTGTGGTCAAATGTAAGACTTGGTGGAGTATGAAGCATAGTTCATTCGTTTTTAACAGGGTTGAAATCGAACCTTAATATCAGCCTGCTGTATCCACTCTAAACCCACTTCAGGTGTGTGAGGTGAACTTGAAGAAGTAGGAGACAGCACCCCTCCTCCATCATTTTATCCACTTTACTACCAGTGGCAAAAAAAAACAGCCCCAGAGCATGACGCTACAATCACCATGCTCGCCAGCTGATATAGTGGTCTTAGGTCTGAAAGCCTAATTATTACTCCTCCAAACAAACCTCTTGTCTCTGTTGCCAAATAGCTCAATCAGCTGACCATAAAACTTTCCTGCAGATGGCCTTTGACTTGACTACGTGGGCAGCTGCAAATTTCAGTCGAGCCTTGAGCAAAGGATTTAAAGCTTCACTGTGGACAGTGACCCTGGTGTTCCAGCAGTTTCCAGTTCATGCCAGGCTTAAGCTCTGGTATTTCCTGGGTTGTTTCTTAGCATCCTAGCCAATTTGCTCTCAACTGAGAGTGACAGTTTGGGTCTAAGCAAAGTGGTGAAACATCCAAATTGCTTGTTTTATTCAACTGTTTGAACTGATGATATTGGAATCAGCAGTCGTTTTAAGCTCTTAGTGTTTTGGACATTCCCAGTGTTCTGATGTTTACTCAATCCAATGACCACTGTCAAACAAACATTTTATATGTGTAACGAGAAACTACCAGCTGTAGTCAAATGTATACTTTCCACCCTCTGTTGACAAAAACAGCATTCATAAAAACTTCAAATGTGCGTAAAAAATTGTTTTTTTAAAGTCGTCAGTGTTTGCTGTACAATTATTATTATTATTATTATTATTAAGAATAGTTCACAGAAATCAGTAAAGACAAAACTAATATGAAATTCATTCTTACGATGAGCAGATTTAAAATGACAACAACTTTAACTTTATTGTTAATTAATTAATTTTTTGTTTATGTTATTCGGAAACTATACGAAAAACATTAACATTGAAATTTGTGTTGATAATGTATATCTAGAAAGGGTCAATACCATAAAATGTCTTGCTGTGATCATTGATCATAAGGCCTGTTGGAAATCACACATCACTTGTGTGAGGAGAAAGTTAGCACGGGGCATTGCCGTCTTGGGGAAAGCAAAACAATTTCTGGATAGGAAAACATTGTATGTGTTATATTGTGCTTTACTATTACCATACGTGAGTTATTGTGTAGAAGTTTTGGGGAAATACATATAAAAGAAATATTCAGACTATAATCATAATGCAGAAAAGGGCTGTTAGACTAATAAATCAGGAGGGGTATAGGGCTCACACAAACGCACTTTTTATTAAGACGGTGACGTTTAAAACAGTGAAAATAATATATAAGGAAAGGAAAGGGATGTTACAAATCCAAATAAGTAAATGGTTCTTAGAAAGAGAAGGGAGGTATAATTTTAGAGGGAAGTGGAAATTAAAATTACAAAGAGTAAGAACAACATTGAAAAGGATGTCTATTTCAATAGCGGGAGTTAAATTCTGGAATGAGTTAAAATAAGAAATATAGGTCAGTAGTGATACTAACCAGTTTAAAATAAAACTCAAAAGATAAATTTTAAATAAGTATAAGAATGAAGAAAAAGCAATTAATGAAATGAAAGCAATATTAGGAAATCTTCTGTCTCTCTTGGCCACTTAAAGGGATCAGAAGCAGTTATCAGGATGACTGGAAAATGAAACTACTTTTTTTTAATGCTTCAGTGTATTTTAATGTGCTTTTCTTAGAGCAATATGCTAAAAATTATTTCTGTCTTTAAGATACAGTTCATATACCATCATCAATCAACAAGATGCAAGCACACTGAAACTCTTCAAGTGAAGCCTTTTCACTCAGGTATCTTCTCCACACCCCACTGTAAACCCAGCAGACTGATGGAGAGGCTGAAACACCAACGTGTCTGCTTTGTGCAATTCAGAACTTCTAACTTTGTGGAGATGAACAAGTTCCCATTACAAGAATGAGGTTAATTTGACAAATTTTTCAGTTTCAGGATCAAGAACGAGATTGTGTTTGACTCACCTTTTTGTAGTACAACTGCGTCATGGGATTCATCTGGCCAGTCTGGAAAAAGGAAAAGAGAGAGCTGTGTTACTACCACGAGTGGAGCAAAAATAGTGTGAGGTGAAAGAGACAGGCGTGAGGACGGCTGCACAGGTTTGGTCCAGTTATCATTATGGTCAACAGCTGAAGCCACAAGAGCGGTTGCGAAAGAAAGTTCACAGAGGTTAATCGAATAACGTGCAACCCACGAGCTCAGGACTGCGGACACCTGAAGTCTGCAGTCTTGAGATCAGGGTGGACTTTTGCTTCTGGCCACGGAGAGAGCTTAAGCATTATCGAGGAAGAGCTTTTACTACTGCTGCAATCGTAGCGCACAATGCTCCATGAGTCATAGTGTTCACACTGACACAGCACATATGCTTTTTATGAGGATCATTTTATTTCTGTGCCATTTTCACTCAGTGGTGTTATCATTAAAGGAGAACCATCCCCTCATAACTTCAGGTTTTATGTAAAAATATTCAGGCTTTATATTTTTTGCAGGGAAGTAATCTAGTGAACAGCTGTTTCTAAATCTCAGGTACAATCCACACAAGAAATGCTAAAGATAATTCTGCCACTCCACCAACGAAAAACTGAAAAAGGATTTACTCCATGCTCATTTACTCATTACACGTTTAAGATCGTCAAACAAATTTAGCATAAGGCAAAGATAACCCAAGAAAAAAAACAGCATTTTTTAAATGCCCCCACCATTTCAGGCTGAGAAAAGTTCACAAACAGTTGCCGTCTAATTTCTAAATAAAGAATGTCAAAATGCTGCAATCAATAAGTAAGTCTGCACCAATGAGTGCAACTCACCTCTGACATGACTTTTTGCAATAAGGGACTCGACCCAATCAACTGCAGACTAGTTATATTTTTATATAAAAAGCAAGCATGCCAAATGCCTATGTAAGTTTATTATTATTTGTATGGGAATTTTTTGAATTTTTGTTTTAAATCTATGAGGTTTGCAGCACGACACTGAATTTGCACTTCTGTGTATTTAGATGGACAGACAGTAAATTTTGTCTATTTATAACCGTTGACTGCTTTTTTCTCACAGATTTAATATAATTGCCAGCTTGACCCCATTTGAACCGTAACATAACAGCATGCTGACTAGTCTCTCTTTACCACGATCTTGTTGCGCTAAAGCTACTTTGAAGAAGGCAAAAGTGTGACTGGTTGCAGACTTGGTTCCGGTCTTAGAAGGAGCCACTTCAAAAGGTAATGAGATCACAAGTTCATTGCACACAGTTACAGCAATAACTCTGCTCTTTCTGTGGTCTCCAACCACAAAATGCTATAATTGTAGCATTGAGCAGGTTCACTCTCAGTGACATCATGTGGAGCAAAGAGTAGAAAAAAAAGAGCCTGAGAGCTTTTCGCTCATAGGGACTCCTTCCATATACAAATACAATATGAAGATTCATTGTAGTAACAACACATGTATGACAGAAAATAAGGAAAAACATAACAGGTAACCAACACCAATGTCTTTACAGAAACCAGTAAGTAATTCTACTGGATTTACAGTCACTGTGGAAGACTTTAAAAGCAGCAATGAAGACCTAATATCTCCAAATCTACTTAAGGCTTCAGCTAATTCTACCTGATACTTAAAGAGAAGCTGACACAATGAGTGACTGATGGACGAGTGGACAGCTGGAGCAGTGCGGAGTAGCGAATCCACATACATTCAGCACAATACACAGCGTGCAGGATAAGCCTCCAGTATTAGTGTCTCCAGACTCATTAATACATGTAATCCCCATGAACCACTGACTCCTAGAAAATGTTTAGAAGCTCCTCATGTTTGCACATCTGTGCGTGTGATTGTGTATGTTACAAATCACATAGACACTGCACAGTAATTACCCTACAGTTGTTTACTTTAACAGTAAGCATTCAGGACGTTTTCCTACACTGTGTGGTATTAATAATCCAGCGGTAGGAAGCCATCAGAATGAGAGGGGGAAAAATGCAGATAACAATCTTCACATGTCTTTGAGTAAGAAAGAGCAAATTAATGAAGCTGCTGGTTTGAATACAGATGTAAGCAAAGTAGTTAAGATCTTACTCGCTAATTACTGCTGTGGTGCTCCTGTGTGAAAGAAAAAAACACAACTCTTCAGTCAAAAAAAGAGCAGTTCTGTAAATCAGGAGAGACAACAGAATGAAAACGGTGGAAATCAGCACTGTGTTACATCTGAATATCATTAGTCACACAAGTTAAACACAGAGGCCAGGGGCAAACTGCAGTCAGCACAGGTGCTCATTTCCAGCTGTTCTCTCAACGGTATAAACACCCGAGGAGGTAAATTAAAGCACAGACTGCAGAGTTATGCAGAGCTGACTGCAGTAAACAGGGAAGGCTTTTGAGAGCTGGTTCTTAAAGCTCTGATGCCAACAAACTTAATAAGGAACCTTTAATCACTCTTTGCTCGCCCTCGTTTTTAGCTGAAGGTTGCTCTTTAGAAAAGCTGCTATTGTAAGTGGTGGATTAGATCAGCTGTGGCAAACCCAGATCACATTAGTTCAACACTTTAATCTGTCGATGTTCAGTTAGACATGTTTGTTTCGGGCTGGAACTTATCCCAACAGTTAGTCCAACCAGGACAAGTAAACAAATGGTCACATCCATGCCTACACCTAATATAGAATCGACAATTAACCTAACAGACAATCAACATTTAAAATGGCCTGCATCATGTAAGACTAATGTTACGTGTCTGCTTAGGATAATTCGAAGCTTATTAAGTTACTGGTGGCCTAGAGACCAATTAGCAACCCCTTGAAAAATTTGGTCACTAAGGGACAACTAGTCCTAAGTGGTTGGCGAGTGCAGTCAGGTTGCTGCCAAGTGAAAACCGGTTCACAGAGAACTGCAGCAAAAAAACATTTGTGATTACTTTGGTTGTTACCACAATCCCCTGCTTACCCATAGTTTGCATGGAAGATACCAACTTGTCTCCAATCACTTGCCAACCAACCATTAAGAAGTCCTAAAAATTGGAAAAATCTAAACCAGAAACGGAAGATCTTTGCCTTCAAAGTAAAAGTTGTGGCACATCATGAAACCACCATTTTTCAAAGGGTGTGACTCTTACTTTTAAGGCAAATGGTTATACTTTCTGGTTTGTGTCACACTTTTCACAATTTCCCTTCCATAGCAACTTCCACAAGACTTCTATACAAAATATATGCAACTTCAATTTTTTTCTTCCCACTCTCACCAAGTGCTTGGTCATTTCGGAATTTGCATAGTTTGGTTTTTCTGAATTGCTGAAGGGTTTTTAACTTATAATATTTTATACATTTTATATTGTAACTGGCTTAGACATAATTGTTGATGACGGCATTGTTATGATTGAACCAAAACAGAATGAAACACCGCATTTCTTTTTGAGTTTTGTCTTTAAAAACAACTAAAAATAAAAAATGCTGATAATGAGCTTAATTGTCACATTAAGATAAGAAAAACACTAGTAAGCAACAGAGTTCTTCAAGCTCTAAAGGCTTTAAATGTAGACTCCAGTGATGCTCCAATCTGTGACCATCACACAGACTTATGGACATAATCTTGCAGATGATGACAGATATGCTAATGTCACAGATGCCTGTTAGGACTCAGTCTGACACTGTAAAATGAACCTATTATTGCTGCACCGATATAGATCTGCATTTCAACAAGGCTGTAATTGGTTTGGCGACGCAGCAGAGAGGGAAGAAGATGCTGATGGAGCACAGCGAGATATTTTTAGAGGCTCTGCCATTTGAACACGAAGAATGGAAAAAAAACACTGGGCTTTGGTTGGTGAGGGGTATGAGCAGACCTGATTTTACAACAGTGACTGAGGCGAAAAAAGAACAAGTGCCTGCTGGTCACAAACAATGATATAGTTCTTGTACTTTGTTCAGGTGTAGCTAATTTCACAGTTCATTATCTTCGGTGTGTAAACATTAAATGGCACATCACAGAAGAGGATAAAGAGTCAGAACTTGATTGCTGGAGAAAACGGCAACAACAACTCAGTCTGCCATCAGTCTGAGTCTGAATGGGGTCAAGTTGGCAATGTGTTTGTGATAATTCAGTGATTAACTGTGATAAATCAGCAATAATCACCAATCTGTTGCCATGTGCTGTGATCTACATACACATACATTTACATTATCTACTTAAATTCAGAGTCCAGCCAGAATGTCACAGATTTGAAAGAGAAACTCTTTCAATTCTTCCATAAACAGTGATGTAGTTGCTGCAGGACAGCAATTTAATCATAATTTAACATTCGGTTTGGCTGTGAATAAAAAAATTAAAAAAATCTGTGCAGAATGAACTTTCCGTTCAGGATAAACATGCAACATGATCTAGAAACAAACTAGAGATAGAAATTACAGAACTGATTGAACTACAGTAAACTGAACTTAAACTCTCACACATGCACCTCGATAAACACACTACAACACTTTTTTTATATTTGAATCAGTAGTAGAGTACCTTCTAGGTAAAAGTACCGACAGAAACAGTTCCAACACAGAAGAAGTGGTTGAAAGCTCAACAATACAAAATAAAGCCCAATAAATATAGGACTTTAAGACCAATACTGATATTTGGTGATTTACGATAGGCATCCCAGTGTAGCTCACCAGTTGAGCCACATGGCTGAAATGCATCAACCTGGGTTTGAGTCTGTCTCTTTTTTACTTGCTACATGTGGTCCCTCTCTCCCCACTTCCTGTCAAATCAAATCTGCCATGTAATGAAGGTAAAAATGCACAGCGCCCTCTGGTGGACAGTAGACACATAACATGCTTGAAGGGTGTTTCTCCCATCCCGTTTTTACTGGTCACCGATATGTAAAAAAAAAAAAAAAAAAAGCTAATATTGGCTAACAATATTGGTTTGGGTGATAATAAACTCCAACAAATATAACATGTTAAAAAAAGGATGACTTTACAAATGAATAAAGTTTATAAGCTCTCTGGGTCAAACTCAGACCGCTGCTTAATAA